GAGAGAGAGAGAGAGAGAGAGAGAGAGAGAGAGAGAGAGAGAGAGAGAGAGAGAGAGAGAGAGAGAGTAGGTCTCTGATTCACTCTGACACAGTGCTGGGTCGGCAACCGGCCGGTCGAGCTGACCCGGTCCAACCGGGGCCGGATCGGGCCAGAGGGGGTCAACCGGCAAACCTGATGGGCCAAAAAAATGGCCAATTTTTTTTTTTTTTTTTTTTTTTTTTCTTCGTGGGATCCGTCTGGGCTTGACGAGATCTGTCGGATTCCGCAATAAAACTTTGAAGGTTGGATTCTTTTTCTTGGGGTGTGCCGGGAGGGGGGGGGGGTGTCGAAGGGAGTTGAAGCAGCAATGAAAAAATATATATATCGTCAAATAGAACTGCCCTGTAAACCGTAGGCAGAGAGGGAGAAGTGGACAACAAACGAGGGGCTGTGATATTTATATTAAACGGCTATGGCTAACGGAGGAGGAGGAGGAGGTGGAAGAAGAAAATGATGAAGAAGAGGGGAGGGAAGAAGAGGAGGAGGAGGAGGAGGAGGAAGAAGAAGAAGAAGAAGAAGAAGAAGAAGAAGAAGAACGCAAGGAAGATGAAGCAGCTTCGAAAAAAATAGATAAATATAACGGCTATGGCTAACGGAGGAGGAGGAGAAGAAGAGGAGGAGGAGGAGGAGGAGGAGGAAGAAGAAGAAGAAGATGACGAAGATGAGGGAGGAGAAGAAGAGGAGGAGGAGGAAGAGGAAGAAGAAATGACGAAGAAGAGGGGAGAGAAGAAGAGGAGGAGGAGGAGGAGGAGGAGGAAGAAGAAGAAGAAGCAAGAAGAAAAAGCAAACCAGGGGGTGTGATGGAGTGTCTCGTTGGCGGGGGGCGCGATAGCACGGCTGGCTGGTGGAGGCGACGATGGCGCTGCTGCACCCCGCGGAGAACTACCGATGATGGCGCGGCTGGCTGGTGGTGGCGACGATGGCACGGCTGGCTGTTGGAGGCGATGACGGAGTGGCTGCACAGAGTGGAGGTGAGCGGGGTTGAATGCACGATGCATTTTCCCGCTGTGCGATTTGGTTTCCTGCCCGAACTGATTCAAAGCAGTGGTCGATCTTTGCCGCTGATATGCGACGATCAGCGGCCAAGATTGGCCAATTTTTGGACTTCAAAAATCCGGGCCTACAGGACCCGGTAACGGAATTGCGGGGCAGGGCCCGCCCCAACGAGGGCTCCGTAATACATACGCGCCGCCAAAAAAAAAAATCAGGCCCCAGCGAAAATGTGCTGGGGGCGACCGGGAGGGAACCGGCCCGGGCCACCGGCCAGTCCAACCGGGAGGACCGCGGATGGGGTAGGGGTCCCCAGTCCATCCGGGGACCAGCCCTGGTCTGACACGAATTCAGTTTGCAAATTTAACTGCATGCAGACTGGGAACTCCCAGAAATTGGGATTATAGTGTGTGTGTGTGTGTGTGTGTGTGTGTGTGTGTGTGTGTGTGTGTGTGTGTGTGTGTGTGTGAGAGAGAGAGAGAGAGAGAGAGAGAGAGAGAGAGAGAGAGAGAGAGAGAGAGAGAGAGAGAGAGGGATTGCGGTGGTGTGAAAATACTCAGAGTGCACTGACTCTGACAATTTTTTGCACTCAGAATTGTGCGTGAAGAAAATTGAAAAAAATCAGGCACATAGATTTGGCTCCGGTCTTTTCAGGATATGTAAATATATATCATCATAGATATGTGTTTATCCCCTTCCCCTTTACCCTGCCTCTTTCTCACAGAGTACAAGTGGGCCGTTAATGGCACACGGCGATGTGGGCAGCTCATGCTCAACTTCGTCAACGTGGCGAGCCTTGTACGTGAGAGGCACAGTAAAAAGCGAGCCTTGTATATGAGACGCACAGTAAAAGGGGAGTTGAAGGAGGAATGGTGAAAATCAATGGGCTCAGTATGCTTGTCATGTTTGTTTTGTGTATTTTTATCGTTTGTTCCACAAAGTGCACTCTTCTTTTTCTCCGTCCTTTCTAAAAGGTTATGCAGGCTGAGGTATAGGCAGGCCATACCATGGCGGCCATCCGTCAATCACACTCCCACAACACACCCAGGGAAGAGCGGGGGCATTCAAGCCGGGAGACTCCCAGTGGTGCCCCGTCGCTCAGCGACCCCCCCCCCCACCCCCACCCCACCCCCAACTGTGTATGTCGTTAGCACGGTCAGCAGGACACTCAACGGGCAGAACCCCCCATACATCTACACAGCCTTGCGACCATCCCCCCGCGGGTACCCGGCCGAGGATGTGAATATGCTTCTCGGATTCCTAGTGCTGACGCACTCAATCGAGCCAACCATGGCTCGATCTGCTGCCTGTCTTGCGACATAGGAAGCTGTAGAACACAGGCGCCCGACCAACTGGGATACGTGACAATGAATATATGCCGTTTGTAGTGCAAGGTGCGCTGTCAGTTGATAGATATGTGACAATCCCCACTGCTACCTGAAGGCCCAAGAACCCAAAAGCATTCTGCTTCCTGGCCTGGCTGGCCACACTGGTTGTCCGATTTTCAAAGTGCGTGGGGAACTGGTGGTTCAATGGAATTTTGACAGTGTCTTCTTTCCCCGAATACAACGTGCGGTCATTATAGCTGTATCTACACTGAAAGATGCCTCATATACAGCCATAATGACAGTACATTGTATTGGGGGGAAGGAAGGTAGTCAGTAATACTGGTTAGTATACGTGGCTTGAAATGTAGCCGAATGTGGTCACGGCTGTGGAACGGTATTCACCAGTTCGCAGTAGCTGATGCAGATCCCAGGGCTCAATCCCTAGCCCCCACCTTACCTGTGTACAGTACCTGTGTCGACCCATAGAGTTGAACCCGCGACCTGTGTATTTGTAGCAGTTGGTAGCTTGTCATAGGGTCCATAGGTAGCATGGGTTCGATCTGTAGACCTGTGAGATAGGAGTCCCAGTCAGGTCTCGAGGTCGTAGCTGTAGTCTTCCCGAAGAGTCAAGGTCGTAGCTGCTGCAGTCCAGAGAGGTCAAGGTCGCAGCTGCTACAGTGTCGAAAGGCCAAGTCTACGGCCTTCCGGAAGGTCCGAACAGTGGCCTTTCGAAGTTTCCCACGTCTAAGCTGAGGCAAGTGGGCGAGTGGTAAAGCAAGTGGTGGAGTCTACCCGTGCTGAGTCAGCAGTCCCAATCCTAGGCAGTCCTGGTCCAGTCAAGCAAGTACCGCATGGGACTGTGTGCACTTCGGGCATGGGAAAGGGCCAGACCAACGCACTGCAGAAGTATAAATCAGGAGGCAGCGCCGAGCCATTCATTGATTCCTGCGTGAGCCATGCGGAAGCGCTGCCACAGCGACTTGTGCAAGGAGGTCTGCAGTGAGCCCGAAGACAAAGTGGGCAGAGAGACGGAGCTTAGCCATAGCGATAGGGTAGAGGCGGCCATAGCCGCCATAGCTGTAGTTAGTGTTCAAAGTGTGAATGAAAGTGAGTCTGATTGCATTGGTATCGGAGCTGGTACCCGCTGTTCCACGCGCCGCGTTGTGTGTTGCAGGGAGTGATGCGCCATAGCTGAGGTGGCCGCCGAGAGAAGAAGTCCGCCATAGCGGACCTGGAGGTTGCAGAAGCCGCCGCGCCTACCTGCAGAGAAGACCATGACGAAGAAGAAGACCGAGAGAGAACGAGAAAGAGAGAGAGAGAGGGAGAGAGAAAGGTTGAGCGATTCAAGATTGGCTTACCACGTTTCTGCGTTGAAGACATCGCTACGGCGAGAGAGAGAGAGAGAGAGAGAGAGAGAGAGAGAGAGAGAGAGAGAGAG